AAAAAAAAAAAAAAAAAAAAAAAAAAAAAAAAAAAAAAAAAAAAAGCCAAAGCTTCTCATCACTGTGCATTTAGCTCCCATCTGTCTTTTCCTTTCTGCACAAACAGCAAACAAAAGAGTGAGGGACATGGCATGTTCCAAGGTAGTGTAGCATGATCAAGTCTAATCAGACCGAGACAGACACAGGGCTTTAACTGTGGCTGTTTGATACTTTTGAGTACTCGGTTAATGCAGTAGCTTATCAGGAAACAGGGAGAAAAGGATTTCTTGTGAAAGGAAAATTCCCCATCAAGTTGGCATTTCTATTGCTTCTAAAGTTGAAAGAGCCAATCTCATCCAATTTACTGTATCACACAAAGCCTTGATTGTAACTTCAAAGTGATGCCAAGAACTTGCAAAACTGGAAGAATAGTCCTCTTTAACAGAGGTTGCCACAAAGGTTTTGCATGACAGAATAAGCTGAATGAAGTTAATATTTCAGTATGTGTCAAAGACAGAAATAAAAGCTCAGAGGACTGAGCTGGCAACAGTAGGTGATGTGAAGATTGTAAGAAAAGGTGTCTACTGTCTCAGTAGTTTGCCTGGGTGGTGGATTCATACTGATCATACTAGTCTGTTCATAAAGACTAAATGTAATGTGTGCTGTTATGAAAGTCCATCCTGAAGCCAAAATACACACCCTTACTTCTTCCCTGGAATAATCAGTGCGTTGTTTACAGCAGAGTGAAAGGGCCAGATGAGTTAGCTCACAGGTCTTGAGAGACTTGTGTCTGCAGCCCTTTCTGAGTAACAAATGAGCACTGTGATAAAGTGTTTGGAGCTGCCCTCACTGGGCAGCTGCGCTGAGCTCCAGAGGTTTCTAGTCTTTGAAATCCTCTCATGTAACTGTAAGGACTGAACTCCAGGCTGTGAACCTAAAGTCCTGAGCTTTTTGCTTTTACAGTAGAGGTGAGAGGCTCAAGAAACTTTTGGACTTGTGTTTTCAGAAGCTCCAGATTAGTCATGAATTTGAGAGCACCGAGAAACAGTGAGCCAAAATACACAGACAKATTCATAGTTCACCACCACTAGATGGTGGTGGGCAAAACCTCACACAGTTGATATGAATTATCTCTGCATTGATATTTGCCACAAGACAGTAGCAGAACTACAGCAATGGCAGTGTGACACAGGACTTCACAGCCTGGTTGCCACTCTGAGGGTAAGAAAAGGCAAATAGGCCCAAACCCTRGAAGCTTTTTCCACCACAGGAGGAGTTATGATAAGGAGGACCCTAGAGATGTGAAACGGGAGGGAAAAGGAGCCCATGGGAAGGTTCTGGAATAGGCCTGCTGCCCATTTCTGGAAGGCTGCGGGGTGTCACAGAGGCTAAATTTTCTCATTGTGGCTGTGGTATGGCCAGCAACCCAAACTGCTGGCTTGAAGGAGCCTGGGGACTTGCTCTATCAGCAGGTGGGGGGAAGATGTAGTGGCAGGATGAAAAGCTGTGTCATTAGGCTTTCTTTCTTTCTTTCTTTCTTTCTTTCTTTCTTTCTTTCTTTCTTTCTTTCTTTCTT